AATGAAAACACAACAACTCCAATCCTATGGGACACTGTAAAAGCAGTGCTTAGGGGAAGGTTCATAGCAATACAGGCTTACCTCAAGAAAGAGGAAAAAAGTCAAATAAATAACCTAACTCTACACATAAAGTAGCTAGAAAAGGGAGAAATGAAGAACTCCAGGATAAGTAGAAGGAAAAAAAATAATAAAATAGGGCAGAAATAAATGAAAAAGAAACAAAACAGACTATAGCAAAATTCAACAAAGCTAAAAGCTGAGTCTTTGAGGAGATAAATAAAATGGACAAACCACTGGCCAGACTCATCAAGTAAAAAAGGGAGAAGAATCAAATAAAAAAAATTAAAAATGAAAATGGAGAAATCACAAGAGCCTATACAGTAATGAAGGACCACAAGAAACTACTGTCAGCAACTATATGCCGATAAAATGGACAACTTGAAGAAATGGACAAATTCTTAGAAAAGTACAACTTTCCAAAACTGAACGAGGAAGAAATGGAAAATCTTAACAGACCCATCACAAGCACGGAAATAAAAAATGTAATCAGGAGTCTTTCAGCAAACAAAAGCCAAGGACCAGATGGCTTCACAGCTGAAAAAATTTAGAGAAGAGCTAACACCTATCCTACTCAAACTCTTCCAGAAAGTTGCAGAAGAATGTAAACTGCCAAACTCATTCTATTAGGCCACCATCACCCTAATACCAATACCAGACAAAGATGCCACAAAGAAAGAAAACTACAGACCAATATCCCTGAGGAACATAGATGCAAAAATCTTTAACAAAATCCTATTAAACAGAATCCAGCAACATATTAAAAAATAATACATCATGACTAACTGGGCTTTATCCCAGGGATGAAAGTATTCTTTAATACCCACAAATTAATCAATGCAATACATCACATTAACAAATTGAGAGATAAAAACCATATGATTATCTCAATAGATGCAGAGAGATCCTTTGACAAAATTCAACATCCATTTATGATTAAAAAAAAAACCCCTCCAGAAAGCAGGAATAGGAGGAACATACCTCAACATAATAAAAGCTATATATGACAAACCCACAGCAAACATTATCCTCAATGGTGAAAAATTGAAAGCATTTCCCCTCAAGGAAATATTCCTAAAGGAACAAGACATGGGTGCCCACTCTGGCCACTACTATACAACATAGTTTTGTAAGTTTTGGCTACAGCAATCAGAGCAGAAAAAGAAATAAAAGGATAACAGATTGAAAAAGAAGGAGTAAAACTCTGTGTGCAGGTGACATGATCCTCTACATAGAAAACCTTAAAGACTCCACCAGAAAATTACTAGATCTAATCAATGAATGGAGTAAAGTTGCAGGATATATAATTAACACACAGAAATCCCTTGAATTCCTATACACTAACAATGGGAAAACAGAAAGAGAATTTAAGGAAACAATTCCATCCACCGTTACAACGAAAAGAATAAAATACTTAGGAATACATCTACCTAGGGAAACAAAAGACATATATATAAACTATAAGCCACTGATGAAAGAAATCATAGAGGACCCAAATAGCTGGTGAAATATACCATGTTCATGGATTGGAAGAACCAATATAATGAAAATGAGTTTACTACCCAAAGGTATCTATAGATTCAATGCAATCTCTATCAAGCTACCAACGATATTTTTCACAGAACTTGAACAAATAATTTCACAATTTGTATGGAAATACAAAAACCTCAAATACCAAAGCAAACTTGAGAAAGAAATGGAATTGGAGAAATCAACCTGCCTGACTTCAGGTTACACTACAAAGCTGCAGTCATCAAGACAGTATGGTACTTGCACAAAGACACAAATATAGATCAATGGAACATAATGGAAAACCCAGAGATAAATCCACACACCTATGGACACCTTATCCTTGACAAAAGAGGCAAGGATATAGAATGGAGAAAAGACAACCTCTTAAACAAGTGGTGCTGGCTGTTTATAATAGCCAGGACACGGAAGCAACCTAGATGCCCATCAGCAGACGAATGGATAAGGAAGCTGTGGTACATATACACCATGGAATATTACTCAGCCATTAAAAAGAATTCATTTGAATCAGTTCTAATGAGATGGATGAAGCTGGAGCCCATTATACAGAGTGAAGTAAGCCAGAAAGATAAAGACCATTACAGTATACTAAGACATATATATGGAATTTAGAAAGATGGTAACGATAACCCTATATGCAAAACAGAAAAAGAGACACAGAAGTATAGAACAGACTTTTGGACTCTGTGGGAGAAGGCGAGGGTGGGATGTTTCAAGAGAACAGCATCAAAACACGTATATTATCTAGGGTGAAACAGATCACCAGCCCAGGTTGGATGCATGAGACAAGTGCTCGGACCTGGTGCACTGGGAAGAGCCAAAGGGATCGGGTCGAGAGGGAGGTGGGAGGGGGGATCGGGATGGGGAATACATGTAAATCCATGGCTGATTCATGTCAATGTATGACAAAACCCACTACAATATTTTAAAGTAATTAGCCTCCAACTAATAAAAATAAATGAAAAAAAAAAAAAAAACAAGTGGTGCTGGTAAAACTGATCAACCACTTGTAAAAGAATGAAACTAGAACACTTTCTAACACCATACACAAGAATAAAATCAAAATGTATGAAAGATCTAAACGTAAGAACAGAAACTATAAAACTCCTAGAGGAAAACATAGGCAAAACACTCTCCAACATAAATCACAGCAGGACACTCTATGACCCACCTCCAATAGTAATGGATAGAAAAGCAAAAATAAACAAATAGGACCTAATTAAACTGAAAAGCTTTTTCACAATGAAGGAAACTATAAGCAAGGTGAAAAGACAGCCTTCAGAATGGGAGAAAATAATAGCAAATGAAGAAACTGACAAAGAATTAACCTGAAAAATATGCAAGCAACACTTTCAGCTCAATTCCAGATACATAAACGACCCAATCAAAAAACAGGGTAAAGAACTAAACAGACATTTCTCTAAAGAAGACATACAGATGGCTAACAAACATATGAAATGATGCTCAACATCACACTTTATCAGAGAAATGCAAATCAAAACCACAATGAGATACCATTGTATGCTGGTCAGAATGACTACTATCCAAAAGTCTGCAAACAATAAATGCTGGAGAGGCTGTGGAGAAAAGGGAAACCTCTCACACTGTTGGTGGGAATGCAAACTAGTACCGCTACTCTGGATAACTTGTAGAGATTCCTTTAAAAACTGGAAATAGAACTGCCATATGACCCAGCAATCCCACTGCTGGGCATAGGCACCGAGGAAACCAGAACCAAAAGAGATACTTGTACCCCAATGTTCATCGCAGGACTGTTTATAATAGCCAGGACATGGAAGCAACCTAGATTTCCATCAGCAGACGAATGGATAAGAAAACGGTGGTACCACTTCTGGGCATACACACTGAGGAAACCAGATCTGAAAGAGACACATGCACCCCAATGTTCATTGCAGCACTGTTTATAATAGCCTGGACATGGAAGCAACCTAAATGCACATCAGCAGACGAATGGATAAGGAAGCTGTGGTACACGTATACCATGGAATATTACTCAGCCATTAAAAAGAATTCATTTGAATCAGTTCTAATGAGATGGATGAAACTGGAGCCCATTATACAGAGTGAAGTAAGCCAGAAAGATAAAGAACATTACAGCATACTAACACATATATATGGAATTTAGAAAGATGGTAATGATAACCCTATATGCAAAACAGAAAAAGAGGCACAGATGTACAGAACAGAATTTTGAACTCTGTGGGAGAAGGCGAGGGTGGGATGTTTCAAGAGAACAGCATGTATATTATCTAGGGTGAAACAGATCACCAGCCCAGGTTGGATGCATGAGACAAGTGCTCGGGCCTGGTGCACTGGGGAGGCCCAGAGGAATCGGGTGGAGAGGGAGGTGGGAGGGGGTATCGGGATGGGGAATACATGTAACTCCATGGCTGATTCATGTCAATGTATGACAAAACCCACTGCAATATTGTGAAGTAATTAGCCTCCAACTAATAAAAATAAATGAAAAAAAAAGAAAAAGAACATCTATAAAAGAAAAAAAAAAAGAAAATGGTGGTACATGTACACAATGGAATATTACTCAGCCATTACAAAGAATACATTTGAATCAGTTCTAATGAGGTGGATGAAACTGGAGCCTTAGAGTGAAGTAAGCCAGAAAGAAAAACAATACAGTATACCAAAGTGTATATATGCAATTTAGAAAGATGGTAATGATAACCTTATATGTGAGACAGCAAAAGAGACACACATATAAAGAACAGTCTTTTGGACTCTGTGGGAGAAGGCAAGGGTGAGATGATTTGAGAGAACAGCATTGAAACATATATATTATCATATGTGAAAAGGATCTCCAGTCTAGGTTCAATGCATGAGACACGGTGCTCATTGCTGGTGCACTGGGATGACCCAGAGGGATGGGATGGGGAGGGAGGTGGGAGAGGGGTTTAGGATGGGGAACACATGTACATCCATGGCTGATTTGTGTCATGTATGGCAAAACTACTACAATACTGTAATGTAATTAGCCTCCAATTAAAATTTAAAATATAATTTAAAAAATCATGAAAGCATAAGCACTACAAAGAAAACCTTACATGTTAGAAGCAATTATGATCATCAAGTAAAAATATGTTGTAAACATATACAGTAAATACAGTAAATACCAAGTAAAAATATGTTGTAAACATATATAGTAAATCCCACTTTAATTAGCTTCAGGACTTGTATCCAGTTTCAAGTTGCTAGGAATGTTTGTTAAATATCAAATATTTTAACCTCTAGCTGTTCTCAACTTCAAAAAATAAAACTTTTCAACAGTTTGTTATCTCAATTTTAAATTCAGTTTTAGCTACATATGTGAACATGCTTTCTAGGTTACATGATTTAATCTTACATATTGCCAATAATAAGTGAAAAGTTTGGAATACCTTGCTCAAAACGGAGGCATTGTTTGCTTCTTCCAGAAAGTCAGCTAGTGAAGCAGATCTTTGAAAAGTTTGTTGCTTTTTTCTAAATCCATAAAGGTTAAGCTGTCGAACTAAACTTTTCATACTATTAGTTTCAAATATTCTGAAAGGGGCCTTTCTTTCTAAGACTTCTTTCTTGAAGACTTCTTCATTGATCACTATAGAAGTGCCACTCTCATCCCACCAAATAGATTTAAACTGATCACTTTCAACTATCTTCCAAAGTTTTTGAGGAAAGTTGAGTGAAATAAAATCGTTCAATTCATCTGTTTCAGAGATAGAAAATGTGTAATGTGGCATTTTTATCACAACTTCCTCACACAAAGCCTGAAAAGCTGCTTCTTCAATCATAGATCTCAAAACTGAGTCCTCAGTAAGGGTGTAATCACACAAAGGTGATCTAATGGTGGTTTCTGAACCAGTTGATTCATTTTTAGGAGGCTCATCTTGAATTTCTGAAGAAAAATGTGCCATCTCAAAGAAATATTTCCTCAGATACTTTTATTTGTCTGATTATACACACTGCAACTTCAAATGCTGCCTGCCTGGCTTAAAGAGATAAACTTTCTAGACCATCACAGTGGTTCTCAAAGTCAAAAAGCTGTGACATTACAAAGTCACTGGTCTCCTGGCAATTGAAGGGTAGCTGTGACATCACAAAGTCACTGGTCTCCTAGCAATTGAAGGGTAATGTTCAACCAGTGTCTACTTCTGTATCAACTTAAATACAGGCTGCTTACATAAATAATAACCAAAAATATGAAACCTGCAAAATCTCATTCCTAAAGAATTTTTACACAGAAAAATCACATCAATAAATCTACTTGATTCCTGAAACAAAAGTGATTTATCACTCTTCTATACACAAATTCTTATTATTCAGTACTGTTACCAAACCAAGCTGCTCACTTCTATGCAATAAAGTCAATCAACTGACTGTGCATTGCAGTGAAAGCAAGTGTAATGTTTATTGTAGGACCAAGTAAGGCGTCCTAGCATCTGGTGATTAAAAGGCCCACACTCCCCAAATGCTTTCAGGGTAAGGATTTAACGACAGAGTGAGGGTAGGCCATGGGGTGTTTGATCAGTTTTAGGACATTCTACTATGGCCTGTTACTGAGGATATTGGGAGACAACATCATTGACCTGCTAGTTCCACCTACTATGTGGTCTATGTACTTAAATTTCAGCCTGGTTGGGGCTTTAGCATCTCTAAAACGGTGCACAGGATATTGCTCAGGATATTATCTATGGCCCTTGAGGAGGAAATAAAGATCCTTGACTTTGCTTAGTGGCTAAATCCTTATTATTTTATATTGCTTGATTATTTTCCTTTGTTTCAGCCTTTTCTAACCTCTCTGATTAAAATTAATCTTGGAACATGAGGAGGTCTACAATCCCCTATGTCTCTCTCTCTCTCTTTTTTCATACTTTTCAATCTAAAGAAGAGACTGCTTAGAACAAGAAATGAAATGAAGTGTTGGACTTAGAGGTTGATCATAAATGTGACAGAAAATCTCAGTTGCAGGTTCGATTTCTGTTTTCAGTGTCCTGTCCCTCACGACCAAATCACTGAGCAAGTGAAGTTGAATAAGAGGCTTCCACACCCTTGTTCATGTTGAAAACCAGACATGGGAGAGGCTTTCAAATAGAAGAAGAAAATATTAGCAAAAAAGTGTAAACCAACCCAGAGGTGACAGGTTCAATGGAATAACAGTCTGTAGTTAATGCTGAGACTGTTCACTTGAGGGGCAACAGTAGCCTATCACATGTACAAACTTCAAGAGACTAGCTGACACTGTACTGACACCATAAAGCACACAACAGCTTCTTATAAATTCTGAGATCTATTTCTATAATTATGATTTCTTTAACTTTTAAAACTTTTAGATCTTTATTATCCCCTAAATTTTTATTTCCATTGACTATTATTACCTTTCTAAAAAATAAACATAAATCTATTTTTTAAACATTTTTTATATATATGAGAAAGATTTTGGCCTCTTTTTTTTTTTTACACTACTTAAATGAGTCTAAATTTTATTCTTGGTTGTTAATTTCTGCATTCTTAATTTTTTTTTTTTTTGCTTTCTTAAAATTATCAACTTTGTAACTTTAGGAACAAAATCATTAGGATCTGCTTTCACTTAGAGATTTGTTTCCTTAGTTGATTGCTTTCTTCCCCTTTTGACTCTCCCTTTTCTTCCCCTAGGCACCTCTATCTTCCTCCTCCTTTTTCTCTGCTCTATGTAACTCTGTGAATTCCTTTGACTGTTTCTGGATGAGGAGAGTTGTGTCACCATTAATCTAGGGATTTTAACTTCTATATTGTGTGGATGTGGATTTTTGATGCTACTGTAACTTGGGGACAGAAACCCAGAGGCCAGTACGTTGATTCCAGAACCTTAGATCACCATAGAACCCTTGACCTCAGGGAACATTAAAGGACAGGCACACACCCCAGAGTTTCCATGCCTACATGGAAAGCAAGCTCCATGCTTGAGGCAGCAAGTCCAGTACAAGAGACCCCACACCTATTCTTCAGCAAAACAGAAACATGACAGTGAATATTATAAAAGGGGCTGCCTGAAACTATGCCAAACCCACAAACACCCCAAAGCACAATCCTGGAAAATTCATTGCACTCCAGAGAGAAGAGATCCAGATCCGCCTGGCAGTGCACACACACAAATTCGCTGAAGCCTTAAACCTTGACAAGTCACTGGTCCAATCCCACCCACAAAGGTCAGGTTCCACAATGAAGTGGAACCATAACCCTTCATAAGCCTTCAGAAAGGGGACCCAAACCACAGCAATCTAAAGAAAATGAAAAGGGAGAAACATTCAGCTGGTGAAGGTACATTATAAAACCTCACCAAAACAAACAAAAGAAGAGGAGATAGGAAGTCTTCCTGAAAAGAATTCAGAATAATGAGAATAAAGATGACCAAAATCTTCAAAGCTAAGAGGAGTCACCAGTAAATACACTGGAGGTCCAGACTGAGAAGAAATAAACATATTTACCATGGATCTAGAAGAAATAAAGAAGAGTCAAGCAGTAATAATCAATGCAGTAACTGAGATTAACAACACTCTGGAAGGAACCAACCGTAGAGTAAATGAGACAGAGAAAGAATTAATTAGCTGGAGGTAGAAATGAGGAAATAGATGAAACATAGAGGAGTGTGCAAAAATAAAGAATGAAAGAAAGAAAGAAAGACACATATAAAGCTCTGAGACATCCGGGGCAAAGATCAATGCCCCATGATGAGAAACCAGATGGAGAAAACCAAATGGAGAAACCAGATGGAGAAACCAGACGTCCAGAGTGAAAACTGAAAAAAAAGGGGGGAGGGGTACATGGAAAGTTCTTGAGGAGGTAAAAGTTGAAACCGCTCTTGCATGAGTCAAGACACAAGAAATGGAACCAGACATGGAAAAATTAACCATTTCATAACTGGGAAAGGAGAGTGACAAGCCAGTTCATAACTCTGCTTATGTGAAACATATGTGGAAAATACCATGAAAATACCAGGTGAATGAATCACAAGCTGACATCAAGGTTGTTGGGAGAAACATCAACAACCTCAGATATACAGATGGTAAGACAGGAAAAAAAAAAAGAAAGTGGAGAGGAAATAAAGAGCCTCATGATGAGGGTGAAAGAGGAGAGTGAAAAATCTTGCTGAAAACTCAATATTCATAAAAACAGAGATCAGGGCATCTGGTAACATCATTACTCAGCAAATAGAAGGGGTAAACGTGTGGAAACAGGGACAAGCTTAATTTTCTTTGGTTCCAAAATCACTAAGAACGGTGACTGCAGTCATCAAATTAAATGTCACTTGCTTCTTGATGTGTGTGATCTATGACACACCTAGACATTGAATTAACAAGAAGAGACATCACCTTACTAAATTCTCGGTAAATAAGAAAGGTCAATTATGGTAATAGTGGAGGCTATGGGATGTTGTTGAGTAATGTATATAGCTTTTGATTGGTTATTACATCTCTTTATTGCTAATTCAGTAAGTATGTAAAATACATCATTTGGCAGGCAGTAAGTCTTAACTGATGTGCAAGATACATAAGGAAACTTGGGTAGACACGAAACATATAGAGGAATCTGATACATGTGAATAACTTGGTAGGTAGGCAAACAGGTTCTTTCCAATTCCATGCGAGAGTTTAGGAAAAACTGTGAAATGTGGCTTAGCATGACTGGAAATATTTAGCCTGATTGTAGCTCTAGAAGTTCAGTGAAACAGATAGATAATGAAGCTACTAAGGGAAACAGATGTCATGTCTTCCAAGAACTGGTTAACCGTGATGAGATGCTGCATTCAGCACAGAGATTTAAGTCTTTCTTTCAGGAACAGGAAAGCAACATCAAAATATACATTAGGAAATATAGGGTGGTGTCTTGGTGGGATGAAATGAAGACATTATATAAGGAGAGCAGAACAATAATGACCCTTTATAATCTCGCTTGTAAAATACCTATCTTTTGCTGACTGTGGTGCAGTCTTTGACTATGTCATGTTATTGTTGGTATTCCAGTGATGGTATGATGGTTATCATGGTTACTGAGTACATCTCAGTGTTTTCAAGTATGAAACAAATTTTTGTTTAATGAAGACAACCTGCTGTCTAACCTCTTAGCTTTCTTCCTGATAACTGACATGATATAATAAAACTGAGGAAGCAGTAAAGTACATACTCTTCATTTGCTTTTTCTAAATTTGATTTGTATCTGTTCCTTCTCCCATATCATCCTAACTTAGACACCCAGTCAACTCAGCCTGGATGATTTCAAAATCATTTTATTTACATTTCATCTTTTCACTTTGTTCTGATTTTAGATTTTTTCAACAATTCATTAGGTGTAACTTACATAGGATGCATATTGAATGATTCCTTGAATAGAAGAGTTTATATTAAAGCACAATAAAATAGCCAGGCACTGAAATAATACTCTCATTTTACTCTCAATTGTTTCAAAATAGAAATTGACACTGTGAAGATGAACATGTAACTTGATTCTTCAAATAAGAGAATTGTAGGAATTTGTTGATATCTCCCAACATTAATTCTAATCTTCATTATCCTGCATAATCTGACACCTGTTTGGTAGATCAGTTGTATTAGGATGATTTTCAAATAATGAAGATGGTTGATGAGTTGACCTTGAAAGAGAGGCAGCAGATATATCAGGGATCTTTGGCCCTGGGAGACATGAATTGCCTGTATGTTGTAGTTTAGGAAAAGCACTGTCATGGGCTGCCATATTACCATACAAATCTATAAAGTTAGAAGTCTCCACCCTCGGTCCAAAATACCTGTTCTGTAATAGAGATAAGATGTGATACTGAGAAATAGAAGCAGACATAGCAGCAAAATTCTCATTCGGGCCATTTGATTTAGTGTAGCTGCTATGTGAAGTCCCACAAAAAATGCTCAGCCTAGAGTATGGG